ATTTTTTGAGTTACGGCCATTTTAAGAAAACGTCAAAATTCTGAAAAAATCCCTGTACTATAGCCCACTGGTTTTTTCAAAAAATGGCTCCAAAATCACCCCAAATTTTTATTACGTTTTCTGATACATATTGATGCCCTTATGCTGTGTAGCAAGTTTGAGTTGATTCTGACTTCAATTTTTTGAGTTACGGCCATTTTAAGAAAACGTCAAAATTCTGAGAAAATCCCTGTACTATAGCCCATGGTTTTTTCAAAAAATGGCTCCAAAATCACCCCAAATTTTTATTATGTTTTCTGATACATATTGATGCCCTTATGCTGTGTAGCAAGTTTGAGCTGATTCCGACTTTAATTTTTCGAGTTGCAGCCATTTTAAGAAAACGTTAAAAATCTGAAAAAATCCCTGTACTATAGCCCATGGTTTTTTCCAAAAAATGGCTCCAAAATCATCCCAACTTTTTATTACATTTTCTGATACATATTGATGCCCTTATGCTGTGTAGCAAGTTTGAGCTGATTCCGACTTCAATTTTTCAAGTTACGGCCATTTTAAAAAAACATTAAAAATCTGAAAAAATCCCTGTACTATAGCCCATAGTTTTTTCCAAAAAAAGGCTCCGAAATCACCCCAAATTTTTATTACATTTTCTGATACATATTGATGCCCTTATGCTGTGTAGCAAGTTTGAGCTGATTCTGACTTCAATTTTTCAAGTTACGGCCATTTTAAGAAAATGGCAAAAATCTGAAAATTACCCAAGGCTATAGCCCATGGTTTTTTCCAAAAATGGCTCCAAAATCACCCCAAATTTTTATTACATTTTCTAATACATTATTAATGTCCTTATGCTGTGAGGTTCAATTACTTGATTGTCTTTCAGAGTTTGAGTCCATTCTTCTTTAGCAATGGCTGGCACTGCTTTGAGGAGTAAATTTTTCGCTTTTTCTCCATTTTCTTCCAAAGTCTTCATAACAAGCGCCACATTAACCTAATGCAACAAATAATAATAATAATAGTAATTAATAATTCTTTAATAATAATAATTCATAATAACCCCGCCCTCATTATAAGCCCCGCCCCATTACTGGTTCTCCAGTATCCCTCCAGCAGTCATAGTCAGTTGGTAGTGCTATACTAGCGTAGCAAAGCCCCGCCTCTTTTGCAAGACACGCCTCCGGTACTGTAGTCATGTTCACAATATGTCCGCCCCACTGACGGAATAAGAGGCTCTCGGCTTTAGTGGAGAACCTTGGGCCCTCAATAGTGATAGTGGTGCCTTTAGTGTGGTGGGACAGACCCAGTTCAGCACATACTGATATTAATATCTGGAGAAATGGAGAGAAAAATCGTGATGATAAAATTGTTCTTTTAATTTAAAATAAACTAACTTGTCTTGTCTTTTCACAGAAAGGTAAGTCCATTTGTAGGTGACATATTCCAGCCACTGGACAGTTAGTAGTTCCATCATAAAAGCTATTCTCTCTTTTAATCGTCCGGTCAATAAACTGGTCCAGTATCACAAGGTCCCCTGGTTTGATCTCTTCCCTGAGTGACCCACAGGCAGTGGTCACCAGTACGTGGGTACAACCCTCTTCCTTCAAGGCCCATATGTTGGCACGATAGTTGACATTAGAAGGAGATATGGTGTGCTTGCGACCATGTCTGTATTAATATTAATATTATTATTATTATTATCTGATGGTACTGTACCTTGCTAATAGTACACAAGGTGTTCCACTTATCTCACCAGTTACTAATGAATCTGAAGGCTATAGGAAATAAATAATAATAATTAATAAATTCATTAAATTTTAGATGAAAATATTGTTGTGCACTTTGACGTCAAAAATTAATAAATTTAAGGCAAAATTATTACCATATTTATTATTAATAATTAAAGCTCCACCCTATCAATCAAAATGGTGTCTTACATCTCCAAAAGGAGTCGTCACTTTCTTTTCTTCTCTTTTTGCTAGAATATCAGGATCATCCAGACCAGTACCTCCAATTATACCTATCTGTTAATGAAATTAATAATTAATTAACTCATTATTAATTTTTTATTACCTTAACTGAGCTCATTTCCAGTTTTTTTCACACTAAAATGCTTTTGTCTGGGTCACGTGATTAAGGTGATGGTAGCACGTGGTTGAAGTAAACGGAGCTTGTTTACGTCCGGAGGGTGTGGTCTCCAAGTTGTCGGAATTTATAAATTTATATGCAAGGAAAATTCTTTATACTTAGTAATCCACTCAAATTATTAGCTATATTACTTAAACCTATTTCATTATATTTATTTATGTATAAATAAGAAAGCTATAAGTTTGATAAATAAGAAAAAAAACCTAGAAAACAACACAGCCTAATTAATTAATTTTTATATTTCTAAAATATCCACGTGGTTAAAGTATCCGAACGTGACCATCCCGTTTATTGCAGTGACGTCATCAGAGTACCCGGACATATTCATATCCGGATATTTTGATCACGTGTGATCACGTGATCATTTTCAATTTTAAAATGGCGGATTTGGTAAAATCTCTACTACTTGTTTTTCAACTTTTCTCTCCTTTCTCGAGGCTAAAGCGTCCTTTATGCTACACAAATAAAAGTAAATATTACTAACACAATTATTGAATGTAATGTAGCTACTGATTTTAGTGTATTTCAATTAATTCCAGTGCTTCTATTATTTTCAATATGTAAAAAAATAGTTTAAATTTTTTATTGTTTTTATAACAATGGAAATATGAGTACCAATGTTACGAATCTATCATCAGCATCTTAAATATATTTATTATTATTTTCATGTATTTCTAAGCTAATGGAATACATGTACATGCACTATACACATCAAAGTATGTATTTCCTGTTTAATTGTTTGATTTTAAAATTCTATTTCTTCATAGAGGTACTGAATATCGTTAAGACTATGAATAACGTTATCATTTCCTGAGGGACTAACAAAAGAATGGGAACAACAGGTAATGAATATCATTAACTATTGAGTTGTAAACTATGAATATCATTAAATTCATGAATATGATTATGATTTCCGCCTTTCATTCCATGAGAGAATAACATGATATTATCCTCTAGTAATAGATACTTAATACACAACATGAGAACATGTATATGCATTTTTTAAATGTAATAAAATTGAAGAATTCTTCGTTTTTTTATTTTTGCAAAATTTAATCCGAGACCATGTACTATAGTACAGGGACTTTGATCCGATAATTTAGTAAAAATTTAGTTTTGATCGGAATGAGCTGAAACTTTCTACACAGCATCAGAACATGTATATGTATCAGGAAATGTTATAAAAATTAAGAATTCTCTCCTTTTCATTTTTGGCGAAATTTGGCCCGAGACCATGTACTATAGTACAGGGACTTTGACCTGATTTTGGAGCAGCTTAAAAAGTTTGTAAAAAATCCAAATTTGGTCGGAATCAGCTGAAACTTTCTACGCAACATAAGAACATGTATATGCATCAGGAAATGTAATAAAAATGGAGAATTCTCTCCTTTTAATTTTTGGCGAAATTTGGTCCGAGACCATGTACTATAGTACAGGGACTTTGACCCGATTTTGGAGCAAATTAAAAAATTCCTAAAAAATCCAAATGTGATCGGAATCAGCTGAAACTTTCTACGCAACATAAGAACATGTATATGTATCAGGAAAAATTATAAAAATGGAGAATTCTCTTCCTTTAATTTTTGACAAAATTCAGCTTAAGACCATGGACTTTGTTTGGCCCAATTTTAGAGCAACTTAAAAAATTTGTAATCAGTAGATCCAATCCCCCCATTGCATCAAAATTAGACCATACCTACAACTAACAGTAGTATATGATGTTATCAGTGGATGGTCATTAATCTATTGTTGATCTGTTACACACACAATGTCATTCACTGACCACTAAATATACCATCTATTCACTGGAGACACACTGTCTCTCTATATAGATATACACATACAATGCATACACAATATACATTGTTCATATATTGTATATGTACATGTTAGTCAATAGCAGCTGTCATGTTTTCCTGTAGCCGCCCTGCCCTTACTTCACAGACCTATAGTGTCTACAGTTATGTTTTCTCTTGTTCTAGTGTTATTCTTATTATCTTCAGCTAACATTATTCTTTCATTATGTATACAGTATTCTTCATTAGTATGTTATCATAATTCACCCTCTTCCTGATATCATATACCACCTGCTAACTGACACCCATACACCACCCTCCTTTGATCTACCCTCCTTTGATCCACCCTCCCTCTCTCTCTCTCTCTCTTTCTCCTTTGTTTATTCCTTTGTCCTAGTTTATATTTCTCTCTCTTTCTCTAATTGTTCATTTACAGTGAGTAAGTAAGAGTGTGTGCTAACTGTGCTTACGCTACTAATAACAATCTCCTTATATGGTAGTGCATGTGACTAGCATGAGTAACCAACAGGAACTAGATACACACACACACACACACACACACACTCTCATACACCTACCCTATACTACCCTATACTACCTTATATATGAAACTAATATGTACATTATGTATCCATACTGTCTATACATACATACTACAATACAAGATGATTTATTGGCAGGAGGAATATTTAGCGAATTTGCTTGTAGAAAGTTATTGACGAATTTTATATTGGCAATTTTGTGCCGTGTGCCATAATCTGCCATGCTTAGTTTGAAACAAAATGGCGGATTTTATATTGGCGATTTCTTTATTGAACCGTCAATCGCCAATCTTGATTCCTCGCCAATAAATCATCTTGTACAGTATCTATGTATACATAGCTTTACTATGATTTCTGTGAATTGTTCTGCTTCATTTACTAACAATAACTGATACACATTGCTCCCTCTCCTCTTTATAATAACCCTCTCATTAATTAAGCCATTAACTCGTCATATTTCTATTCATTATAACCTCCTAATATGGTTCTATTAGATTAATGGAGTAGACATAATTCAATTGATAATACAATGTTAGGGAGAGAGAGAAGGAGACAGTGACATTATCAAACCTGATCTTGTCTGATATCATTCTACATCTTAACAATGTCAATAAACACAAGTACCGACTGTAAGATAACATTGATAGTGAAAGGCGGCTTGTTTCTCTAGTGTACTCTACCCCTCTACATGTTCTCATGTACATATATGTACATGTAACATGTGTATGTCTCTCCGTCTCCTGTTGCTGTTTATTTTATTTTTAATTTTCATCTTGGTAGTGTGTTTTGTTTGACCTTCCCTTTTTAATTTCCTTTAGTTCAATTTGCTAATTTCCTTTTGACCATTTCTAATAACATCCTCTATAGTATTTGTGTCTCTCTCTCCCTCCCTCTCTCCCTCCCTCTCTGCCCTCCCCCCTCTCTCTGTCCCTCTCTCCCTCCCTCTCTGTCCCTCCCCCCTCTCTCCCTCCCTCTCTGTCCCTCCCCCCTCTCTCTCTCCCTCTCCCTCCCTCTCCCCCTCTCTCTTCCCCTCTCTCTCCCTCTCCCTCCCCCTCTCTCTCTTCCCCTATTATCCATTAGTTATTCTAGTAATGGGTGTATAGTTTATCTTAGTGTGTTAGTTTAGCTGCTCTATGTCCGTACAGTTTACACTGTGACTCTTTTCTTCCCTTCTTCAATCTGTCTTTGAGTATTTCAAATTCTTTCATAATTATTGTAAAGTGTCTAAAATCGCAAAAACCCATTAATACCATTGTATATATAATAGTGTAAAGAAGGGGATCCTCTAGAG